ATATACTTAAAACTGAGGAAATATTGCAATTTTGGGACAAAAAATTCTCGACGTGCAAATATCGTTTCAGCGCAAAAGGTTAAGAAGATACTAGCGTTGTCCCCAACTTCCACTGTAAGTCGTGTGCATCCGAGAATGTCCGGTGGACTGGAAGATCGATAAGATCGGTTATATCGTTCAGAAGTTTCTGGCCGGACACTGTCGTGGGTTCTCGGTAAAGAGAGAAAGAGATCTTACGGCTGACGGCTAACGAGTTCGCGCGGCCTGCCAATTAACTTGGGTAATCGCGTTTAATGGAGGACCCTCGCACACAGTGGCGTATGCAGCGGTTTGTTTCCGAGCGGGCCCGCGTAGCGATTGCATCGACCAGTTTAATAGTGGTAGTCGTGGTGGTGGTGGTGGTGGTGGAGGACTGGCGCACACGCTCGGCCACCTACGTGTACCCACCATTATCGTATACCCACGTAAAAGCGTGCAGCGCGGCTAGAAAATGCGTTTTGCTTGCGATGATTCCGCGTTGCGCTCGCGCTCCGGGCGAACGTGATACAAACGCCCTCTCTCTCTCCCTCTCACTCTCTCTTGCTTCCTCTCTCCCTCCCACCTTCGTGCAACCGTGACGGCTAACGAACCCTGGACGCGCGCGTATCGTATCGAGCGGTGGCGCGTACGCTCAGGGACGTATTACGTGTTACCAGGCAGCTTGTCCTCAAACGCGAGCGTAGAAACATGCTTTTTTTTTTCGCGTCGATGCAAAACGCACTTCTTCTCGTACATGGAAAATCTGCCAATAGAATTTTCATCTAGAATTGCACGTCAAATTGAAAATCCACGTAACGATATAGATTTACAGGATTCTCGAAATCTCCAAGACCACCATCATTCTGTAGTCCAATTTTTACACCTGCTAAAAAAAAAATGTGAATATTTTGCACGTAGACACATTTGCAAAGAAAAATAAGAAAGAACAAAAAAAAAAAATATTGACAAATTTTTAACTTTAACTTCACGAATGTAAGGATCGAGTGTAAAAGTGGAAATTTTATTCTCGCAGATTTGCACTCGCCTTTCGGATCTCGCTCGAAAATCGCGAATCTTCGAAATCGCGAATTTGCCGAACGAAACGAAAGCCACGTCGTGCACGCTTAATTATGCCGGTATTCCGACGCGAAAAGGAATCCCCTTCAGCGGTCAAGATTTCGTAAACGAGTGCCAAGGCATACACCCGTGAATGAATGGAGAGAGCCCTGAAGGGAGAACCCTTTGACCCAATCTCGTTGATTGCAGATTGCTTTCGTCATTGCGCTTCTGCACGACGAGCGACATCCTGGCTGTAGTACTTGACGAATATAAAAGGGGGTAGGGAATACCAGTCTCGTTCAGAAGAGATTCGTTTAATTGTGTCACAATGACGAATCTTCTGCCACTCGTTTGAACAAAATTGACCATTAATGACAAAATTGCAAAAGAACTACATATTAAGTTACAAAATACTAAGAGAATCTTGATCTTTTATTATTTGCTTCAGCGTTGATTAACCTCTTGCGCTGGCAACTGGTTTGCGGACCATAACGAGTGACCAAAACGTACACAATAATTCGTCGCTTTCTTTTTGAACTCGTCGGTATGACAGTGCTGGATAGAAACTATCACTAAGAAGTAACAAATTTATTATTTGTTTTGCCTTGGGTTGTATTTAAATATACTTAAAACTGAGAAAATATCGCAGTGTTGGAACAAAACATTCTCGACGCGTGCGTGGCAGGTTATAATATATTTACCAAATTTACAATACAGTCGTATTTTTAGGTTAGAGTTTAGCCCTAGGGGTTGACCTTGAGAGTGCTCAAAGAAGTCTTGGGATATTTCTCTTCCGGAAGGTGAATGAAATAGTAGTGTGCGCGCGGGCGAACTCCCTCGGGATTGCCGCGCAAGTATATACGTGCCAGTTTTATACGTTCAGGGGTTGCATTCGGGGGAGCGGCCGACTAGTGGCAGACGGTTCCATCGATTGGCAATGCAGAGGGGGGGAAAGGGTAGAAGAGTGGGGTATCTGAACTCTCCACGGCTATCTATATGTACTACATAACGTATCGACGACCTCGGCTTTCATGGTCAATGGTAAAAAGGTGGGTTTTTTTTTTTTAAATACGTCGCGTGGGATTCACCTCGATATCCTCGATTCTTTTTTCCATTGACAATCGAGCATTTGCAAACACGCATCGATCACAGATCATTGAAAATCGCATCAAAATTCGTTGCAAAAATTCGCTCACCCTCGGGGTGAATTTCGTTTCGAAAATGACGAAACGTCCCAATGGAGGGACGAATTTGTCATCGTTTTTTATCTATCTCGAACGTACTAGCTTGCACAGAGTAGATAAAAGTTATCGTTCTCTCGTCACGTTCGAGGAATAAAGCAACACGCTCGACGAGATACATCGCGACGATAAATTGCGTCCGCCGATTCGACAAATCGGCAAACAGTGCGTTCCGCTTATTCGAAATATCGCGCTCGCTCGCCTTGAAACGAGCCAACTTGTCCGCGACATGATAAGATGCAAATACCGCTGGGTTCTCCCTTATGAAGATACCATGCACAAGCGTGTGTACATTTAATTAGCGAGGAATGCAACTCGCGTCGCGACGTAATCCGCCAAGGCAGCTGTTCGATAAAATATGTAAAACTCTCGTTACTTCAATTATCGCCGAGCCTCTCGAACATTCTCAACAGCGAAAGTGAATTTTTTTTTTGGAAATTCGCCGTCCGACGAGACGCGAAAGTGGATACTCGTAATTTACAAAGGGTGAACTGCAAAGCGGCCGACAGAGCCAAAAGAGCATTTGCGTGCCTGAAGCGGAGTGCATCTGTCAAAACCACGCCCTTGCATCCTATCCTATCATCTTGACGTAGGGGGCCCACAGAAGTTCAACGATAAGTACTCGCCAGTCGAGCTTCCTAAAATTCGTGTGACTCGGTGTGTATCTGGCTTTACGACTTGTTTAACCAAAGCGTTATCCAAATTGTTACTTCGAGTTACTTCTACACCGGGGCACGCATAAAAAAACGATTCAGATTGTGTACGAAGTACGAAGGGCAGTAGATAATAATACAATAGAACGATATGTTTCTTATTCCGGATGATTCTTGAGTGCTGCAAAGGAATAACAAATTACACGGAACACCGCGATAAAGTATATTATACGTCTGCGTGTAACGTCAGAGGGGAAAGCACTGGGGAAAATCTGTTTGTTCGCGTATGGAGATTTGACCACACCCCTCCATTTTCGATCGGTGAACAACGAAGACGATCGATATCCTCGAAAGTATGTTAATCCTTTGGCAATTTTCAAGTTCGAGAGCGGGGAGGGCGATCTGAG